ATCCACGCGGCCACGGAACGTCAGGGTCGGGATCGAACCCACGACCTCCTGTGTACCAGGCGAGGTAGGCAACATCTCGCCACCGTGGCGTTCATTTCGACGGTGATGCCGGCGCACGAGGTTCGGCTCTCGCGAACGACGCCGGGGGATCTTTAACGTCGACTGTGACGCGGGTGGCGGCGCGTGCTATAGTGGTTATTGCCCCCGCAGTAATCATCGGGGCGGCCGCTGAATTCGAACCGCGGACCTCCGCGACGAGCGAAGCTTCCACTAGGCCACGTATAATAGTAATAAAAAATCATCATCCAACTCGTACCACTCGTGTCGGCCGGTCCTCGCATCGGTGGTTATTGTAAGGCGCGGGCAATTTCCCCAGGTTTTGAGGTTGGGAGGTTGGACAGTCCGTGGGCTTGCGGGCTGTCGGTGGCGATTGCGGTGCCGCTAATGAGATACAAATAATAGATGAAGGGTGTGTAAGAGGAGGAGCGACTGCTGCGGCCCTCTCATTGAAGGCTCGCCATTGTGAGTCAAGCCCAGTGGAGAGGCTTCAAAGCCCGTCATAATTAGACGCCATTTAAATTGATCATGCGATGCGCCAAAAACACTCCAAAAAAAGAAGAAGACGCTGTGGCTCCGTGCCGCAAGGAACCCGTGGGCGCGGGGTTGCCATTTGTGAGCGCTTTGAATTTCTGGACCTCTGCGAAGCGGTGCGACTACAAAGGCGTCCACATTCTTAGCGGCTGCTTTATTGTTTGTTAAAGCTGCGTCGAGATCCGTTGTTTTTTTTTGGCTTTAATCGTCGAGACTCCCGTACGACGATGGCGGCGCAGTCGTCGGTGTTGAGAGGCGAAGGAATTCGTTCACGCGGCCCCCTGTCCCCCCCCCCGCCGGTTCACGCGGCCCCCTGTCCCCCCCCGCCAGTTCACGCGGGGGGCACGTCGGGTCCGTGCGAGTCCGCTGCCGGGGATTGCCGGGGTTCGTCTACAGAGAGAGACGCGCGCTGGCATTCACTCACCTACTGGCGCGCTCTCCGGATTGTGAGACGAATCGGAGAGTAAGACGCGCCCCAAACTCGTGCCCTGGTGTCAGAAAAGTTCCACAGTTCTGACCAAAGACAAAGATTCCTCGTACAGCTCTAACAGACTGTCGGGGCAAGTGTTGTTAGCGAGCGCCTATGAAGGCTGGCATGACGCATGAGGGGGTAGGTGGCGAGCACCACGCCCGGCCGCCTTTGTCTCCCCAGTGGCGATGTTTGCACAAACCGCACCCACGTACGCATTTGGTGGCTGAGACGACCTTGGGGAGGCCCAGAACCGGTTCAGATAATCGTCGCCGGTGTTGGCCTTGAGTGGGAATCGAACTCGGGGCACCGGGTTCGTAGTGCAGCATAGAGCTAACCGCTACACTACTGCTATGCCACCGCTACGCCACTTCTACGCTACTTCTACGCTACCTCTACGCTACCTCTACGCTACCTCTACACTACCTCTACGCTACCTCTACACTACCTCTACGCTACCTCTACACTACCTCTACGCTACCTCTACACTACCTCTACGCTACCTCTACACTACCTCTACGCTACCTCTACACTACCTCTACGTCACCTCTACGCTACCTCTACGCTACCTCTACGCTACCTCTACGCTACCTCTACGCTACCTCTACGCTACCTCTACACTACCTCTACGTCACCTCTACGCTACCTCTACGCTACCTCTACACTACCTCTACACTACCTCTACGTCACCTCTACGCTACCTCTACACTACCTCTACACTACCTCTACACTACCTCTACGTCACCTCTACGCTACCTCTACACTACCTCTACACTACCTCTACGTCACCTCTACGCTACCTCTACACTACCTCTACGCTACCTCTACGCTACCTCTACACTACCTCTACGCTACCTCTACGTCACCTCTACGCTACCTCTACGCTACCTCTACACTACCGCTACACTACCGCTACGCTACCTCTACACTACCTCTACGCTACCTCTACACTACCTCTACGCTACCTCTACGTCACCTCTACGCTACCTCTACGCTACCTCTACACTACCTCTACACTACCTCTACACTACCGCTACGCTACCTCTACGCTACCTCTACGCTACCTCTACACTACCTCTACACTACCTCTACACTACCTCTACACTACCGCTACGCTACCTCTACGCTACCTCTACGCTACCTCTACACTACCTCTACACTACCTCTACGCTACCTCTACGCTACCTCTACGCTACCTCTACACTACCTCTACGCTACCTCTACACTACCTCTACGCTACCTCTACACTACCACTACACTACCTCTACGCTACCTCTACGTCACCTCTACGCTACCTCTACACTACTCTACACTACCTCTACACTACCTCTACGCTAACCTCTACACTACCTCTACACTACCCTCTACGCTACCTCTACACTAACCACTACACTATCTCTACGCTACCTCTACACTACCACTACACTACCTCTACACTACCTCTACACTACCTCTACCTACCTCTACACTACCTCTACATACCTCTACGCTACCTCTACACTATCTCTACACTACCTCTACGCTACCTCTACACTACCACTACACTACCTCTACGCTACCTCTACACTACCACTACACTACCTCTACACTACCTCTACACTACCTCTACACTACCTCTACACTACCTCTACGCTACCTCTACGCTACCTCTACGCTACCTCTACACTACCTCTACGCTACCTCTACGCTACCTCTACGCTACCTCTACACTACCTCTACGCTACCTCTACGCTACCTCTACGCTACCTCTACACTACCTCTACGCTACCACTACGCTACCACTACGCTACCTCTACACTACCTCTACGCTACCTCTACACTACCTCTACGCTACCTCTACACTACCTCTACGCTACCTCTACGCTACCTCTACGCTACCACTACGCTACCTCTACACTACCTCTACACTACCTCTACACTACCTCTACGCTACCTCTACGTCACCTCTACACTACCTCTACACTACCTCTACACTACCTCTACACTACCTCTACGCTACCTCTACGCTACCTCTACGCTACCTCTACGCTACCTCTACGCTACCTCTACACTACCTCTACGCTACCTCTACGTCACCTCTACACTACCTCTACACTACCTCTACGCTACCTCTACGTCACCTCTACACTACCTCTACACTACCTCTACACTACCTCTACGCTACCTCTACACTACCTCTACGCTACCTCTACACTACCTCTACGCTACCTCTACGTCACCTCTACACTACCTCTACACTACCTCTACGCTACCTCTACACTACCTCTACACTACCTCTACACTACCTCTACACTACCTCTACGCTACCTCTACGCTACCTCTACGCTACCTCTACGCTACCTCTACACTACCTCTACGCTACCTCTACGCTACCTCTACACTACCTCTACGCTACCTCTACACTACCTCTACACTACCTCTACGCTACCTCTACGCTACCTCTACGCTACCTCTACACTACCTCTACGCTACCTCTACACTACCTCTACGCTACCTCTACACTACCTCTACGCTACCTCTACGTCACCTCTACACTACCTCTACACTACCTCTACGCTACCTCTACACTACCTCTACACTACCTCTACACTACCTCTACACTACCTCTACGCTACCTCTACACTATCTCTACGCTACCTCTACACTACCTCTACGCTACCTCTACACTACCTCTACACTACCTCTACACTACCTCTACGCTACCTCTACACTACCTCTACACTACCTCTACACTACCTCTACGCTACCTCTACACTACCTCTACACTACCTCTACGCTACCTCTACACTACCTCTACGCTACCTCTACACTACCTCTACGCTACCTCTACGTCACCTCTACACTACCTCTACACTACCTCTACGCTACCTCTACACTACCTCTACACTACCTCTACACTACCTCTACACTACCTCTACCTACCTCTACACTACCTCTACGCTACCTCTACACTACCTCTACCTACCTCTACACTACCTCTACGCTACCTCTACACTACCTCTACACTACCTCTACACTACCTCTACGCTACCTCTACACTATCTCTACGCTACCTCTACACTACCTCTACGCTACCTCTACACTACCTCTACGCTACCTCTACACTACCTCTACGCTACCTCTACACTACCTCTACGCTACCTCTACGCTACCTCTACACTACCTCTACGCTACCTCTACGCTACCTCTACGTCACCTCTACACTACCTCTACACTACCTCTACGCTACCTCTACACTACCTCTACGCTACCTCTACGCTACCTCTACACTACCTCTACGCTACCTCTACGCTACCTCTACGCTACCTCTACGCTACCTCTACGCTACCTCTACGCTACCTCTACACTACCTCTACGCTACCTCTACGCTACCTCTACACTACCTCTACGCTACCTCTACGCTACCTCTACGCTACCTCTACGCTACCTCTACGCTACCTCTACGCTACCTCTACACTACCTCTACGCTACCTCTACACTACCTCTACGCTACCTCTACGCTACCTCTACACTACCTCTACGCTACCTCTACGCTACCTCTACACTACCTCTACGCTACCTCTACGTCACCTCTACGCTACCTCTACGCTACCTCTACGCTACCTCTACGTCACCTCTACGCTACCTCTACGCTACCTCTACACTACCTCTACACTACCGCTACGCTACCTCTACGCTACCTCTACGCTACCTCTACGCTACCTCTACGTCACCTCTACGCTACCTCTACGCTACCTCTACGCTACCTCTACGCTACCTCTACACTACCTCTACACTACCTCTACACTACCTCTACGCTACCGCTACCTTCACTTTATACGCTGGACACCTCCAAGACTTTTGCTTTAAAAAGCAAAAGTCGTCCGTCGCCTTCATGCCATTTTCAAATGGCCGTTGTTGTTAATACCGCGGGGGGGGGGGGGTCTCTGTTCATTCGCAGAACTCAATTCGTCACAACCTGTCTCTGAACAAGTGCTTCGTGAAGGTTCCCCGGCAGAAGGACGAGCCGGGCAAGGGGGGATTCTGGGCCATGGACCCGCAGTACGCCGACCTGTTCGAGAACGGCATGGTGAGACGCCGCAGGAGGGTCGGTCCGGCAAACTTCCACGGCGCCGGCGTCTCCGCGCCGCCCGCGCCGCCCGCGCCGGGCAAGAGCGGCATGTGGAACGCTCGTCACTACGGCTCCGCTTGGGAGACGCCGCTGCAGGGGGCCGCCCACGGGCCCTGCCTGGCCGACGACCCCCGGGGCAGCAAGCGCAAGCAGCCGCTGCCCAAGAGGCTGGGCAAGATGCCCCGGACCTCCAGCCCCGTCCGCCTCCCCGCGTCGCCGTTCGCTGGCCCGGACGACCGCGCCAGGGACCACCTGCGGGCCGACCTGGACTGGCAGCAGGTGCTGGAGGACATGTTCCACGGGGACCTCGGCGGGCTCGGGGAGTTCGAGCTGAGTCCGCCGCTCACGCCGGAGAGCGGGGGGGCGGCCGCGGCCGCAGAGCTGGACGTCGACCTCACGATCCACGGCCACCACATCGACCGCCCGTCCGAGTGGTGCTGCGGGCAGGCGGGCCTCGATTCCCTCCTCGTGCAGCAGAGCCGGCTGCACCAGCAGCTCTACCACCATCACCACCAGCAGCAGCAGCAGCACCACCACCATCAGCAGCAGCAGCAGCTGAGTCAGCCACCGCTGGGTTTGGATGAAGAGCTGGCTCTGGCCGTGAGCTCCCTGCGTCACCCCTGGGAGGAGATCCATGACGATGACCTGCTGATGGGGGGTGCGGTGAGTCTGGCCGAGGTGTTGGACTTCAGCGACGGCTTCTCGGAGAACCTCAGCCAGTGGGACAGCTCGGAGGCATCTCAGTGAACGCCGCGAGCCTCCGCCAACTTTGCAATTCGAAACTCTTCGCCTCGGTCTTAACGCCGTCGCGGATTTCCCGTAGACGGTCGATGCGGAACACTTTGAAATGCCTCTGATTTAGAAATTGCAATGGGCAGGCCCCCCCCCCACCCCTCACCCCAGTGGTGGCCGGCAAAGAGATGAAGGCACGTGTCATTTAAAGGGATGAAGGCACGTGTCATTTAAAGGGATAAAGGAAAGGAACGTGTCATTTAAAGCGATATTCAAAACAAAAACAAACAGTGGACGGCGTTGCGCTCTTGAAGAGATGCGTTTGTCGTAGTTATTGACGATATGAATGCATCATCAGCGCGTGAAACGTAGATGCCATGTGCTAGCTATACAGCATGATCATGCCTCGCCTGTTAAGGTGCAGGTGTCTGCTCACGCCGAGTGTACAGCAACAACGTGGGGAGCGCAGCACCCGTTTGTTGCCCATGCTCACACGCATCACTCAGTTCAACTCAACGTGTCCAGTACACGCACTGCGAGTCGTTACACTGGTCCCGCATAAAAAAAAGGTTTATCTTTGTTCATTTAAATGTTTTCACCATAAAGATGATGGCATCGCAGCCGCTGCATCAGGCGTCATCGCAAAGCGGCAAAACGTAGAATCATCACCGCCGTTAAACACTGGGACTTTGGAGGACGGAAGTTCCGACACACAAGCAGTGGGCCGCATGAGATGCACTGCTTCGTGTACTGCAGCCGCGTCGGATCCAGGGGGAGTAACGGTGCCTTGATTCATCAGTACCGGCCCTTCTGCCTCGCGATACACGCATCGTTTCGCGTCTTGCGTTGTATGTAGTAGGCTCACGGTGACCCTTCCAGCCACTAGACGATGACACATTCACCGCAATTAAATATATTTGAAATTACGCTTGCTGAGCACGGAGCCCCAAAAAAAGTCCTAAAATGCCAAGCTGCCAGCGGCAAGCAGCGCTCTTTACGGCGGAGGAGTGGGTGAGAGTTGGCGTGTCTCGAGGTGTACAGGGAATTGGGAAAAAGAGACGGTGGGAGAGATTTTACAAGAATTGAATTCTTGGAATGAATTTCTTGACCCTGAATCGTGACAATTTAATCAGGAAGAGAAATAATCTGGCTTGTTTTGCAGGTCCTTTTTGTTGTTGTTGTTTAAAGCACAAGTTTTTTTTTATCAATCCATGTATAAACCATTGTTTAGCCAAATATTTTGTTACCATTGTACTTTTGCATTGTTGTAGTGCTCTCGGCTCGTCTACCAGTGGAGTGCATCGAGGGTGCACCTGTGCTCAATTGGGCCCGAGATATCCACAAGTTCATATGCTTGCAAATCTTCCAGAGAGGATCAGGGTCATTGTGGTCAATGTTCACACTTTCCACCCCTGCCTCTACCACGGCTCTGCCGAGTCACAAATCCTAAGAGATCTGGGTGAGAACAGGAGCAACAGGCTGTGTGAACAGGCAGCTCGTTTTTTTTAAAAATAGATTGGCGTCAACAATCGGATACATGTGAGCTTTATACGTGAACATTGCCTGGGATATAAACATTTGGTTTGTCGCGTTGATGCAATTTATAGATTTACTCATATTTCATCATCATCATCGTCGTCGTCGTCATTGTCAATGTCATCATCATCACCATCATCCTTAAACCAAATAATGTATGTGGGTTGTTCGAATTCAATGGCTTTTCTGTTATGTTTTTTTCTTAGCCGCGTTATGGAATGTAGCTTTATTGAACATCAAAGAAGGGGACTTGTTTATTTATTGAAACGTGAGAAAGAAACATTTTTTGTCCACGCCGATTGCCGGTGGCCGAGTCTCGTGACCGATGGTCGTCATTGGGACTCGCACCGTCACTCGCGTGCAATTTTTATTCTCTGTCTTTGAAAATGGTCTTGCGATTGGGAGGTGTGAAAGATCGTTGTTTTATTTTTTAAGTCAATATCAGAGTGATTTACTCGATAAATTGTGAATGTGTATGGTTTACTCTCCCAACACACCGGTGTGCTGAACTAGCAACGAAATGGCACGTTTTTGTTTACGTGACAAACATTGGTAACTGGCTGTGTCGGGTGGTGGTGGCAGATTTAACGACAATTCTATTTACCTGATCGAACTCCAAAAAAATCTCTGTATTATGGATAACGGAATTATGTTTGAAAAAAACAGGAACTTCTCTGCAAAGGATTCGGCTGGAACGACTCAAAGAAGACTTAATTTACTCTGTGAGAGAGTTGTCATACCGTTGGGATTATTTATCAATTATGATATTGCTAAGGTATATTTCTATAATGTATCACTGTTGGATATCACGGTCGTGGTTTAAAGAGTAGACAAATTACCCTAATTACGGTAGTTGTATGCATTTATGATGTGTTTACAATAAGGAAGGTTTTAAAATCTCTGCATTCATTTCTTGTCATTTATTTTGAAATAGCTCTGTAGTTACTTTTAATCAGGTATGTTGACCGTGAAGGGTAATATGCCAAGAGGGGTTTGCTTAATTTTTACAAGGTTTGGATTTGCTACACGGTCATTTAATATCCATACAACACGACAAATAGTGTTGGCATCTTAAAATGTTTTTACTTCTCAATGATGACGTGTGAATTATCGTGTGCGCTTAGACAGGCTAGGGGCAAAGCAATCTGTCCTTGCTGTTAATTTAACTTCAAGTTGATCAAGTTGGTGTTTTTTGTTATTAAATGCTGAAGCAATATAGATGATCGGTGTGCATTTGGTTTTCAGCTTTTCAACTTGCAATTTTTTTTGCATAAACCTGCAGAGGAATGTGAAATGCTCCTAATGGACTCGCGTTGATCCTGAAGCAGGCGACAGGCGCACGTCCATAGCTGATGATTCTAACTGAAGAAAAACATTGATTATAGATATATACATATATATAAATACACAAAAAACCGACCCTTTAATAAACGGCTGTCTTTGAAAAAGTCTCCACTTCCTTCCGAGGTGATGTGTGACATTTTATCGTGGGTTTTTTGTTTGTCCGTTAACGTTGGGAGAGTGGCCACCAGATGATGCGTTGTCAATCTCGCTCACGGTGCAACGTGGGCGAGATTGGGTGTGGGTGCTGGGTGTGGGTGCTGGGTGTGGGTGCTGGGTGTGGGTGCTGGGTGTAAATAGTGCATGGCGTGGAGTTAGACGGCCTGTGGCTCCTCGTGTAATCACGTGAAGGCACCGCGTGCTATCGACGTTTCCTCCACATTTCCCCATTCCACTGAAATAAAATCGGGTGGCAAATTAATAAACATGTTAAAGGGAAAATGTTGGTAAAAAAATATGTTAAATTCTCGTGATTCCAAAGTCACGAATGTATGGGGGGTAACGTATACCACTTAATATTGTAAAAGTGTAAATATTCCCTTTTTACAGAGCACGAAACCAACCTGGCTTAGATGTAATTTTATGATTATGATCCGTAAGTGGATTAAAGAAGCACTGGACGAAACATGCAGGAAATACAGACAGCGCATAATTACGGCTAGATTACAAATGGCATGTCTAATATAACCAGCAATAAAACAAATCATCCGTACACACTGCAATAAACAAACGCATTCACATGAATTCAGCAGCTTTGCCCCATACAGTGAAGTTTGCATCTTTGTAATTCCTAGTTGGTGGAACAGTCAGGACCCATGGTATCACACATCTGACGCCGTGACGTCAAAACGCACCCCCCCCCCCAAAGTGCGGGGCCCGGGGCGGCCGGCCCAATTCGCCGGACTCTTGGACACGCGTCTTGCCTGGCAGGGTCCACGATCGCGCGTGGCGAGGTCATCTCGGGTCGTGACGCCAGCCGCTGACACATTTGAACGGTATACCTCGTGGCGCAACGCACGGCCAGACTCACGCACTATAAAGGAAGAGCCTCGCTGCTTTAACACATTTTTCCTTTCAAGCGCGCGCCGTGACAGGATGTGATGAATCCGCGACAGAAGGAATGAGAAGTTATGTTCTTGTGAAAGGAAGACAATCGGCGTCAATGGGCGGCATGATATGGGGCTTTCAGATCCACGAATCGCCTCTTTCGATCCAGAAATCAAAACACGTGTCTATGTGTCCCAACATGGATCAAGTAGTGTTCGAGCTGTGGATCGTTAAAAAAATACTTCGATTCGCGTTCTGGTATTCCTTATATGGGCAAAGCAATTACTCCGTATATGGGCCTAAAATATTAACATAAATTACACTGTGTAACACATTTTTTTCCTGGGTAGTAAGTGTTATTTCCTAATTGCTTATGCCTCAAAAGTACAGATAATAGCTATTATTCCCCACAAACTTTGCTTTTGTGACCAGGACAGTTATATTTTGAAATTGATCTATTTTCAATGAGAAAACGTGGTGTGCATTTGTGTCTTTCGTTCACAGTCCTGGTTACAAAAGCAAAGTTTGTGGGGAACAATAGCCATTTTCTGTACTTTTGAGGCATAAGCAATTAGGAAATAACACTTACTACCCAGGAACAAAAATTGTGTTACATCGTGTTATTGTTCATTCTGTCGCGGATTCATTATATCCTGTTACAGCGCATACCTGACATGAAATAAAGTGGGGGCTCCCCTACCTGACGTGCCCCACTCCCCACCCACTCCACCGCATGGCCCCCCCACTCACACCACCCCATGGCCCCCACCCACCCACACCACCCCATGGCCCCCACCCACCCACACCACCCCATGGCCCCCACCCACCTCACCCCACCCCATGCCCCCCCCACCCCATGCCCTCCTCCCCATGAGCCCTCTCGCTTTGGCCGGCACGTGGCTCGTGGCCACGAGAAGCCCACGGGGCCCAACTCCGCGAGGTGTGCAACCCCCGCGGGCCGCCGCCGTGCTGCTTCGTACGGAGTGTGCACATTCGTTCTCGAACGTGGTTTTTTTTTGGGGGGGTTTCAAAACATTCCTCCGACTGAACAAACACAACGAATGGTATCGGTGCGCGTGTACTTTGCGTCTCCTTTTTGTCGCGACGCTTAGGAAAGACAAACACGCTTGAGGCAAAGGTGGGTAAAGGGGCGGTGGAGAAAAAACATGAAGTCGTGATTTAGAGAGCAGCATCGCTTCATCGGTAAAGGGGGAGAAGCGGAGCTCGCGTTCACAATCGGTGTGGCGGCATGATCTGTGACCTTTTCAAGGTTACAGCTTCTCTTTGACACCGCGGGCCTCAGAATAGTTGGCCTGGCACGGAATAATTACAGCCAGAAGAAGTAGGGGGAGAGAGAATCTAAACATAGTGAACCTTACGTGGCATCGATGTAAATTTGTAAGCAAAACAAACAAGCATCATTGCCGTATGTAACCAGGAGATGTGTGATACACATTGAGTGGTCAAGAGTTAGTAGTGGGGTTTTACCCTTTAAACTGGTTCAAAAACTGACACCTTTATACAAGGCATCATGTTTGCATGAAGCAGTCAAAATGCAAACATTTGTTTGCATTTAGCATTTTGACTGCTTGTGTTGTGGTTATTGCAAACATGATGCCTTGTATAAAGGTGTCAGTTTTTGTACCAGTTTAAAGGGTAAAAACCTACTACTACATTTTGCCACTGGTAAAGGAGGTCTCATGGTCAAGAGTTGTAACAAGGTGGCAGCCAAGGATTGAAAGGCGTCCCGAGAGAGAGAGGCTGTTGATGGAGGAGATGGAGCGATGAGATCAGGTTGTGTATTTGTTGGTGCTGGGTTCTGGGTGTGGGTGTGGGTGCTGAGTGTGGGTGTGTGTGCAGGGTGTGGGTGTGGGGGCTCGGTGAGGTCGCTGGGTGTGTGTGCTGGGTGTGGGTGCTGGGTGTGGGTGAGGGTGCTGGGTGTGGGTGCTGGGTGTGTGTGCTGGGTGTGTGTGCTGGGTGCAGGGTGTGGGTGCAGGGTGCTGGGTGTGGGTGCTGGGTGTGTGTGCTGGGTGTGTGTGCTGGGTGTGTGTGCTGGGTGCTGGGTGTGGGTGCTGGGTGCTGGGTGTGTGTGCTGGGTGCAGGGTGTGGGTGCTGGGTGTGGGTGCTGGGTGTGTGTGCTGGGTGCTGGGTGTGGGTGCTGGGTGTGTGTGCTGGGTGTGTGTGCTGGGTGCTGGGTGTGGGTGCTGGGTGCTGGGTGTGTGTGCTGGGTGTGTGTGCTGGGTGTGTGTGCTGGGTGCTGGGTGTGGGTGCTGGGTGCTGGGTGTGTGTGCTGGGTGCAGGGTGTGTGTGCAGGGTGTGTGTGCTGGGTGTGTGTGCTGGGTGCTGGGTGTGGGTGCTGGGTGCTGGGTGTGGGTGCTGGGTGTGGGTGAGGGTGCTGGGTGTGGGTGCTGGGTGTGTGTGCTGGGTGTGTGTGCTGGGTGCTGGGTGTGGGTGAGGGTGCTGGGTGTGGGTGCTGGGTGTGTGTGCTGGGTGTGTGTGCTGGGTGCTGGGTGTGGGTGCAGGGTGCTGGGTGTGTGTGCTGGGTGCAGGGTGTGGGTGCTGGGGTGTGGGTGCTGG